TGAAAGTTCTGTGTTTATTTTCATAACTCTTGATTTTGTTTATATATTTTGGCAGATTGTAGCTTATTCTATTCCTTAAGGGCATAATGTCTGCCTCGTAAAGTACAATATCATTAGGGCATGTTTTTCGAAGACCTGTAATAATTCTAGCTGCACTTAGTTGTATCCTTTCCAGTGATTTTAGATTTGTTTCAGATGCTGTACCATAGATTTGATATCCATATTCCAGGATAGGTCTCATTAGAGATGTGTAAGTTAATTTTATTGTTGTTGCTTCAGCTCCCCACTCTTCCTGAAATATATTTCAAGATTTTTAGTCGGTCACTTCCTTTTCTAACAACTCCTTCAATATGCTTACTGGAGTTAATTTCTGGATCCAGGGTGTAGCCGAGATATTTAGGATGTTTATTATATTGCAATTGTTGTTCTTTCAGAATAATATTTAGTCTTATTTTTTATATTTTATTATCGGTAGTAAAAAGACAGGTTTCAGATTTTTAGGGGTTAAATTCTAATTTATGTTTATTAGCAAATTTTTCTAGGTGGAGAAGAGTCTTGTTCAAATCTCTTTCAGCTTTTTTCCAGTTAGTGCTGCTGCTCCATAGAATAATGTCATCAGCGAAAAGTCCAATATTGGTTTTATGTGATTTTTTTTCTTCTATGCCTGCAATAAATAGGGTGAAGAGAGTTGGGCTAAGGACTGATCCTTGTGGTAATCCTTGGTACAATTTGAAGGTTTTAGATAGAGTGCCATTATATTTGATCCTGATTTATATCGCTAGTGATAGCTTTTCCATCAATTTTGAAATGTTTGTATAATTTTGTAATTAACTTGTTTTTCCATACCTTATCAAAAGCTTGTGTAAGGTCTAAAAAGCAGCTATGGTGTGGTTAGTTGGTTTTTTGTTTTGTGCATCTTTTACCTTTGGTGTGAAAAATAAGAGTTGGTCTATTGTCCCATGTCCTTTCCTAAATCCATATTGTTCTTCTGGTAAGAGATTTCTTGTGTCGGGGTGGTAGGTGAGTCGTCTGAGTATAATTTTTTCCATTAATTTGCAGCAAATATTTGTTAGGGAGATAGGTCGGTAGTTTTTTTGGGTCATCAGCAGATTTGTCAAGTTTTTAATGGGAATTATTGTTGCATTTTTACAGTCTTGAGGCAATTTTCCAGTTTTCCAGCAGTTATTGAAAATATTAAGAAGTCTTTCTTTGCCAATTTTGCCCAAGTTTGATATCATTCGGCGATGGATTCCAACTGGCCCAGGAGTCTTGTTTAGGTCAGTGTTTTCTAATGCATAAGCTAGCTCTTTCATATTGATTTTTTTCATGGAAAATATTATGAGTGCTGGTGACATTTTTTACAGTCATGAATAATCTTTCGGGGGCCTTTTTTCAACCTTGATTTTACTACTTATTTGATATGAATTACCTAAAAGATTGGTAGCAATTTTGTCATTAGTTGCTGGTGTACCATCTGTATTCTTAATCATATTTGTGTTTTCAGTTTGTGGCTGGACTCTGTCAATTTGTTTTGCCCAATTCCAAAGTTTTGTATTTGGGTTTCTTGGGTTCAGGTTTTCACAAGTTTGTTTCCATTTTTCCCTTTTCACATTTACGTATAATCTTTTTTTATTTTTGCAATCACAATGTTCAGTTCAGTTCTACAATTTTTTGGTTTTGGGTGCACTTTTTTGTAGTTCATTTCTTTTAGTTATAAGTCTTTGAATATTTTTTGCCTGGTGTGTATAATTTGGAATCCATTTCTTAATATTACCTCTTGGTATTGAAACTTTGGCTGCTTTAATAATGGTGTTTTCGAAAGATATCATATTAGCCTTTTTGAAGTTCCAGAATTTTTCTTAATTGAGCTAATTTTGGTCTTGGTGCTAATTTCTATCAAATTAGGCAAATGATCACTTCCAAAACTTTTTAATATTTTCTATTTGCATTTGTGGAAAATGTCAGGATAGTAAAAACTTATATCAAGGGCTTGTGCAGTATTATAGCTTGTAGGAATGATGGGTAGGATTCCCATCATTTAAGCACATGAAGGCATTGTCGTCAAATATGTTTGATAGTATTTTGCCTCTTGGGTTTGGCGTAGAACATCCCATAGTTGATGTTTGGCATTAAGGTCACCTACAATAATAGTGTTGTCTGTAAGAAATTGAGCCATTGTTCCATCGTCAATAAATGTATTGTTTGGAGGGTGATACATATTTAATATGTGGATGGCTTTGTTTTGATTGAGGTAGACTTTGATATCTTGGGCTTCGAGGTCTAATGTGTTTGTAATATTAACGGCTATGTCCTCATAGTACAAATTCTTGATTAAAATTGCTAGGCCACGCCCTTCAACAGCATATACAGATGGATCTTCAGACCTTACCCTGAGTAATGGAGGGGCCGGAATTAACATAATACTGCAAGATGGAACAAACATCAAAATCAAAGAAGGAGCAGGACAGATTTCGTCAAACTACACTTGTGAACTGACAGCTATATGGAAAGCCCTTGATGTATGCCTTAACCAACCATCCCTGCATCAAGCAGAAGGAATTTTAATATACAGCGACTCCATATCCGCTCTAGAAGCAATTCAGAAGGGCAATACTAAATTCACACAGAAAATACACTCGTTACTTACCCAACTGGAACCATTGGAGAATAACTGCATTTTACAATGAATCCCTGCCTATGCTGGGATCAGGGGTAATGAAATGGCATTCGAATTGGCAAAGGAAGCCAGAAGGTTGAGCCAAAGGAAAGAACAAATGTCATTATTTGACGCTGGTTCTTTGTCAAAATACAAGATAATTAAACGAAAAATAAGAAAAGATCAGAATGCGAAATAAACTCTGAGAGAAAAATGACAAAAACTATAACAAGACTTAGAACAAAACACTATAAAAGAATGACAATACATTCAGATGGCACAAGAACCTATAGGGCATGCAACAATTGTCCTGGTGTGGAACTTACACCAACCCACATATTCTCATAGCCAGCAATGGCCGCAGCCTTGCAGGAATTAGACATAGACCCTGAGCAGCAGCTTTACACACCCAAGATAGTGGACATTGCTGCTGCTGTGATGGAGATACATGGATACATCTGAGGCTCTTTATTGGACACGACAACAACAACGGCATTCCAGAGTAAAATAAATTATCAGAGATAGATACATATTTTTCAAATGAATTAAAATAAATATAATCGATACTGAGTGAGAGTTGAATTAAAAATATTAGAAATTTATTATCTTCGGAATCAAACCGTATCTAAAATATCAATTTTCTTTTTGCTGCATGTTTTAATTTGCATTTACCTATTTTACATATCTCTGATTGTATTTGAAAATCGTTAACCAATTCTTCATACTTTTGGCGAAGTGGTGTTTTATTAATTTGTTATTTGATATTATTAGGGTTCTTTCCTGGTATTCAGAAAGGAAAATTACATGTCGATCAGTTATATTTTTCAATTTATCAAACAATTTGGCCGCTGAATCTCTGATTCTGGTAGAGCGCCATCTGGCGAATAAAATTGTAACTAAAATCAATTTCGAATTTTTCATTATTTGCCATAAAAAATCCCATTGCATCCTGAACACAATGGTGTTCACCGCATTGCTCTAGCGCAAATATTCGCGGAGTTATTAATTTTTAAAATAGTGCGGGACTTTTGGATCACCCTGTATATACAGGTGAAAGTATAATGCTTTGTCTATTTTTTCATACTTACAGCACGTGTTTAGGATTTTCCCCTTTTTATGAAAGGGATTTCAAAAAGGGGTTTGTGGAGGTTGGGGGGATGGTGTCAGGGTCTGAGGGGGGTCCAGGATTGCCAACCGCTATCTTACGTAATCTATCGCCAATCTCCCCAATCGAGGAATGTGGACATTTCACCAGTACCTGTTTGTATTGGCTACAAAATATATTTGTCTTCCTAGCTACTTACCCCCATCTCTTACCTCAAAACTTCCATTCTTGTTTCCTCTATTGCCATCTCAACATAAAGGTTTTTCATAATCGAGTTTTCTTCTACAAGATTGTCCTAAAATTTTGTAACACTTGCAAAAAAAAAAAAAATGAAATACGAATATTATTCGCCATTATGTATAATGTCGTTGTATTATATATAAAGTAATTGTATTATGTATTATTATGTATTAGTAAAGACATAAGAAATTTCTCCAGAATTGGTTAAAATAGATGAAAAATAAGGAGAAAAACGTTTCTTTAATGGGGATTCGTGACAAGCTTTTGTACCTGTTGAAGGGCTTGACAGCCCGAAAGCTTGTCACGAATCCATTAAAGAAATGTTTTTCTCCTTATTTTTCATCTATTTTATTATGTATTAGTGTAACTAATATATTTAATATATATATATTTAAAAATAAAAGAGTCAAATCCTGACCGTGCTCACATGAACATTTCTATATGGCAGAGCGCCATCTAGTGGAACAAAAAAAAACTAAACGTTTATTTAACTTGTTCCCTGATATTTGGTCAACCGAATTTCTTGATAAATCAAGAAAAGTCAACCACGAACGCGTTTCGGGCTTTTGGCCCTCATCAACGTGGTGCAGACCATATATATCAAATCTCTTTCGATATCGGTTATCAATAAAATATTGCCTCACAACTTTCTAGAATTAATTTGCATAGATTTCCTTAATTACATAGTATAAATACCTAATTATTATTACAAAGAAATAGCATTTAGATTACATAACGTCTTCAAATGAAATAAGCAGGTGTGTAACCAGTATGATAATAGCGAATAATTCTGTTCATTAAACATTAACACATGAAAAGAATCCTCTGTATTGTATAATATATTATTTAACGTGTTTATGCATATATGAATATTGAATAATTTTCTGTGTATTTATGTATAGTTTCCCCAGAAAACTCTTACTTGCTTATCTCCCCTTATTTGACACATTATATTGTATAAAAATCACTTTATGTATTATTTACGAACGGAAAAATATGTCCAGGGTAGCCTAGTGGACATGGCATCTGCCCGGTAAGCGGAACAATGTGGGTTCGATTCCCATCCCTGAACACTTTTATTTTTCCGTTTATCATTACTCTTCATAATTCATCCTTTCTTACTTCATCCATAAGGTTGGAAATGGTCGTTATTTCTCCTTATAATAAGTTTCGATTTCTCGTTTAAAAAAACATGCGCGATATTTTCAAATGTCGATTATTGTAACTAATACTATTATTTCTGTATATACCCTCTTCGACTTAGAGAATATGTATAAGACCAAAGGTCTTAACAGGGACTTTTGTTGTTGTTATTCTTGTATGTACCCTACATTAATGTGCTTGGAGAATCCGTATAAGACTAAAAGGTCTTAATAAAACTTGTTGTTGAATCTTTTTTGTGATGGTTCAAGCGATTTGTGTGCCACAATTTGTAATCTAGGGGCATATAAAAGACTGAAACTTTACCTAACTTGAATTTTCATATTGTCATGTTTGTGAATTTTGTAAGTGATAATTATTCACTGATTTTTGAATAGAAAATTAAAAGTTTATATTTATCATCATTATATACAATGTATATTTTTACAAACAAACAATAATATTTTAAAAAACAACAAAACAATTTAAATTACATATTCCTTATTTATAAAACAACAACAAACTAAAATTAACACTGTAAAAAGCATATTTTAAAATTTAAAACAAAAACGTTACAGTAGAATCTCTCTCTAAAGAACAACTAGTTGCAGAGTCAAATTGTCCTTTCGAGACAGGTGTCCTTTTACAGGAAAGCAACTAATTAGTATAAATGATAAATTTGGGTGAACAAAACTGTCCTTTGTTGAGAGGTGTACGCTAGCAGATTGTCCTCTCATGGAGGTTCTACAATCCCGTTAACTTCTGTTAATAGATAGCTTCATTATATACTTGTCGAATCTGTCGTGGTCGAATGGAAGGGCGCAGCCGTTGTGCATGTATGCTTCGAAAAAGAACTTGTTCCATACTCGTGAGCGCGCGCGGCGGTGTCCGTAGCCTTCTCCCGCGCGCGCTGGCTCCTACGTTTATTTTGTACAGATTTATAGATGGTTGAATGTGTATTTACATTTTAACCTATTAATTATGGCGAAAATAATTTATATCTCTTGGGCATTAGGCGAATTATGACATACATTTTTACAATACAATATAACGCGGCTGATGATTGTAAAACGAAAATTGAAATTATACCGCGAATGTTTCTTTTCTAAAAATCGAAATTTATTTTCAAAGAGAAATAGCGACATTTCTAACTTTGAGGATGAGGTATGGAAAGGTGAAACATGAAGAGTAATGGCGAACATAATTTATTTTTCCGTTCGCCATTACTCTTCATGTTTCACCTTTCCATACCTCATCCTCAAAGTTAGAAATGTCGCTATTTCTCTTTGAAAATAAATTTCGATTTTTAGAAAAGAAACATTCGCGGTATAATTTCAATTTTCGTTATACATTTTTACATAGAAATTACCTTTATAAAACATATCTAAAAGCAAAAAAAAAAACAATTCAATATTTTTAAAGATTAAAATTAAACTTGAGAAAACTACTGGGAGGGTTCAACATGAATGACTTAGCAAGCTAACATAGGAACGTTTAAGCTAGCAATCAGTTAGGAGCAGGATATCCTATGGGGAGAGATAATAGACATCTTATATATAACTGTGATTAAGACGATGAAGTACAGTAGAATCTTTATGAATAGACACTCTTTTTAAAATACATTTCTATAAAATAGATAATTGATATAAACTCTCCATTTTTGACAGCCAACAAACAGTGATTGAATCCCAAAAAAATTGGACACTTTTCAAAAAATATGAAATTGCTTTAAGGGTCACCGATTCTTTTAAAATTCCAACCACACAAATGAATGCAAGTTAACAAACGTAATTCTGGCACATCTTTAAGTTCAAAAGTCGAATTGATTGCTACAATACATAACAGCTATAGACATGTGGTGCACTTGTAATAAAAGCATTCGCTAATAACCACCATGATTATAATGGCCTGCACCAAATGTACTAGAATAACTACTAATTATAATTTTTAGAAAGAATTTTCACACACACACACACACACACATTGCTTAATGACAATTTTTTTAATCAATTATCTCCTTTTCCAGTAAGAGGTAATCTCTTACTAAAGGACACCATGGCTAGGTAACTAGATAGTGTCCTTTAGATGGACATAGGGGGTCGGTTGAAGGATGGTCTAAACCATTGGTTTTCGACCGCTACGATCCGAATTCGATTCCCGCATTGGGCACTTTTTTTATGATTTAAAAAAAAAAGCTCCAATGGCCTTGATTCTTGAAAAAGTCCAACCCCACCAGCGAGTGCAAATAACCAAATGGGACTCTGGCACATTTATAAGTGCAAAAGTCGAATTGCTTTTTACATGTATAGATATGTGGTGCACCTACAGTAAAAGCAGTCGCCTACTTCTACCCACCATGATTACCATGGCGTGTACCACGTGTACATAGATTCATAGTGTACATAGACATAGGTTCCAATGTATATCCCATAGTGCTAAGAGTACCAATAATATTCATACTTATAATTTATATAAAACGACGAGATATTTCTATTGGAATTTTTCCGGTAGGCCTAAGAGCAGTTAAGATAATCGAAGCTATAAATAGATACGATTGTGAAGGTTGATTGCCTGTACTGTCGGTTTGTATCAGCGCTAGAATGATTTCGTCTTTCTAATGATTAATGATAATCATTAATGATTGGCCCAAACCATTTGTATTATTGTTTTCATCATTAAATACACCAATGAAAAAAAGGAAGTTGTACCTTTTTAGCATGTATATCAGAATTCAGGCAATAACTATGAAAGATATTTGATACAGTGACCTTTATTGAAGACACACGAGATAACCAATATACACTTATAGACAAAACTTAAGAAAGTTGTACCTTTTAACATGTATATCGGAATTCAGACAATAACTCTGAAATATATTTGATACAGTGACCTTTATTGAAGACACACGAGATAACCAATATACACTCATTGACAAAACTTAAGAAAGTTGTACCTTTTTAGCATGTATATGCTCTGAACTCTGAATGATATTTGATACCCAAGATATTTGATAACCAAGTGTGGACAAAATTGCATCTGTCTCCTTTAAAAAAAAAAAATAGACATTTGGCGACGTCAAAGACTTTCAACTTCTTTAAGTTTTGTCCATGAGTGAAGTGGGAAGTCAGTGGTGGGATGGTTCGTTAGACATTATGTTGATTTGAGATAATTATCCCAAGTTCGAATCCACCCGTATTGACCTTTTTTTCAATATTGCTTTAATGGTCTAAGATTCTGGTACAAGCTCAACCCTACCAGTGAGTGTAGTTATCAAAAATAGCCTTTGACACCTTGTGAATGCAGTGTTAAACTGATTTGTAAATGTGTAGAAATGTGGGGAACTTATAATACAAGTAGTCACAGCCCCTTCTACCTACCATGGTTATCATGGACTGGTATTACAGTTATAGACATGTGGTGAACCTACAGTACAAGCAGTCACAACCCTCTACCTACCATGGTTATCATGGCCTGCTACTACATATGTAGATATGTGGTGTACTTACAGTATTGGTAGCCACAGACCTTTCCCTACCATGGTTATCATGGTACTACATGTGTAGACATGTGTTGTACCTCCAATACAAGCAGTCACAACCCTCTACCCACCATGATTACATGGCCTGGTATTACATGTGTAGATATGTGGTGCACCTCCTGTAAAAGGAATCATACCCACCGTGATTACAATGGGTGGTATCAGATTTTATTGGACGGGGTGAAGATTAAAAACACAATATAATATTTAAATAGACTCTATGATTTCAGTTACATCATATGTGGATTCACATCTTCAAGCCAAATAGAGACATATCTTTTAAAATTACAAAATATTTTATCACAATGAGTTTCTTTTTATTACAAAACGCTAACTTTCAAGTGATAATCTCTCTTCAACGGGCTTAACAAAACATCGACTATATCCTACAAGAAATATTTACAAAAACATACGCGCGCAGCGTAGATATTTACAGCTGAAATTTTAAATTTGTGAGAAAATATTTTGTAATTTTATCATGAATATAGACATATCTTCTAAACAACCGGTTATCTATGTAACACATACCATATATGCAACATTCCATATTTGCACACGCAAGAAAAAAAACTCAAATCAATCAAAGGGTTTCACCATCTAGGAATCTCTCTCAAAGACCTTCGTGAGTCGATGACCCTCCTGACAAATGAGGAAAGCAACGCTGACAGAATCAAGGTTCTTTATAACGACCCCCCCCATACAAAGATGTCTTTTACTTTATCCTTTTTTGCAAATATCAAATTAAACCAACATTGTAAATGTATAGACATGTGGTGAACTTAGAGTAAAAACTGTCATAACCCTCTACCCCCATTTATTATAATGGCCTGGTACTAAATGTGTAGACCTGTGGTGAACGTACATCCCAGGAGCAATGGCCACCCAGACCTTTCGGTCCATAAACCGGCATGCGAAGCATGCCCTCTGCTGCTATAAGCCACCGTACCGAAGGAATGATGCATTCTCCATGCACCGAGCGGCCATTGTTTGGCCCCTCGCGCCCGCCAATATGGTCTGGCTCCATGGTGATGACCAATCAACCCACAGGCGTCTCCGAGAGTTCATGGCAAGGTTGCTGTCCGAGCCCTCCCGTTCGGATGGTTTAACCCGTCCTACGCTCCAATAGGAGGCTCCAATATATAGTGAACGTACAGTACAAACTGTCACAATCATCTACCCACCATGATTATCATGGCATAGTGTTACATGTATAGACAGGTTGTGTACTTACAATAAGGGCAGTCACAGCCCTCTACCTACCATGATTATCATGGCCTGGTACTACATGTATGTTTGTGTACCAGACATTCTATGTTTAAAATGTTTGACCTTCTATAGATGTTGATTATTGCTTTATTTCTTCTACTGTTAATCAGGTAATCTCTTAATCAAAG